AATATTTTATATGCAGCCCAAGGCAATTCTTTTTCGCTCAGTACTGCTCAGGCAAATCAAAAGGTTGGACATGCCTGATCTAGAACAAGTTTGGCACAGTGGAAAGCCTTCCTTGTGGTCAGACTCCAGTCCTTTTAGTTTGAACTGGAAACAGTTAATCAAGGAACAAAAATCCAAGGACTCTTAAGTGACTATATTTATTAGAATAAATTTAAAGATATACAAGAATTCCAGCAAATACTGTCAGATGAGATGCCTATGTATAGGCAGGCAATCTATGCTGTTAAAACTCTTGTCCATTTCTTCCCACTATTTTGATGGGAGAGGGGCAACTTTTCCCTTTTTTGAAAATGGGGCAATCTGTATTTTTTCATGGTTTTGATGATTCCTATTCCTTTATCTCAGTGAAAAATATCTCAAAGGCTTTTTGAGCCAACTTCTCCCCATTTTCAAGCTACTACCAAGTCAGCACTGATAAATGCACTGTCCCGTATCAGGCAGGAAAAGGATATTTAGAGAGTTTGTAGAATAGTTGGCATTATCTAGAAAGTATTTTAAAGGCAATGTGAGAGTGCAATCCCATAAATAGGACAATGAACACTGAGCGTCAAAAGCTTTTTGGTTTCTACACCCAAGTCTTTAATTGAGCTGCGCACCTTTTTTATTATTAGAGTTACTAATTCATTTTGATGAATTCTCTGTGTATTTAAGGGTTTAAAGGCAAGCAGAGGTTTGGCAGATTGTAGAATAGCAACAGCAATAGCACTTAGACTTATATACCGCTTTATAGTGCTTTACACCCCTCTCATACAGAAAGGGAAGTCTTTGCCCTTCCTGCAGCTTGGATTGCAATGGGAACAAATCTCCCATTAGTTCCAACAGCAATATTTCTCTTCTCACCTAAAAAAAATTATGTGGCAATCCCTTGCATGTTATCTGGTGAGGGGTAAGATAAATAGAACACAGCAAATGTACATTTAAGTAAACATCCATGCATAGGATTTATTTGGATAACATTTGTTTTTCCAAAATACCATAATTACAGGTATCCAGAGCAAGGCATTTTTAAAACTTAGTTTTATTGAGCATCAGCATTTATGACAATGCATAATTGTTTATATAAATAGCACATGAATTTTAGGTGAAAACAATGGACAATCAAAAGGAGAAGAAAAGAAAAATGATGGAGGACTACGCAAAGTTACAATAATTGGGGCTGGAGATCTGGGCCTTGCCTGTATTTTGGCTATTTCAGCAAAGGTATGCGCTTTTAATAGTTATAATACTTAATGAATTCTGAAATTTTTGATTAGATGCATTAGGAATTCACTTTTAATTTCTTTTTACTTTATTTGTGATATTTTACAAAAAAAGCTGCTTAACTTTTTGTACTGTTATTATTTTTGTTGGATTGAATCCCATAGAATTCTTCTCCGAATACAATTCATATTTGCTTCAATGAAAAACATTTTTTCTTTCTTTTGAATCAATTTAGAATGTTGCTGACAAAGTGGTTGTCTTGGATTGCTCAGAAACTACAGTGAAAGGAGGAACAATGGACCTAGAAATCTTTGACTTGCCAAAGGTGGAAATTAGTCGAGGTAGTGTTATAGTATCTAGTATTTTCTAGCAATATTGCAAACTAAACTATGCACCTGGGCTGCTCTACAGGATGCAAAAAGTTTTGGAAGCTTCTTTCACCTCAATGCTTCAGTCTTGGGCATGGATTGCACTGTGTGGATACAATGACATATATATAAAATGGTTAATGTACTCATCCTAGAGCTCAGCAGATACAGAAAAAGCATATTCAATATATATGAAATATTAATGTGTGTTATATTCTTCCTGAGATTTTGATCTACATTCCGGCAGAATGTAGCAAGGGTTATATGTAAAGAGATTACTAAATAATAGACTAACTTTTCTATGGTTTTTTTTGCTATTTTTTGTCAATTTCAGAAGTATTAATAATAATTCCTCTGTTAACTATATAAGTGGGAAGTGATATGCTTGCCTGTTTATCTCAAGTCAGGAAATTAGCCATGTATTATCATAGTTTTAATTTTTTTTAAATGCCATTCTTGAAAATAGGACATATTCAACAATGGTTTATAATTCTTTATATTTCTGTAGATTTTTCTGCGTCAGCAGACTCAAAGCTGGTGGTGCTTACCGTTAATTCTTTAGGCAATGCTCAGTCCTATCTGGAGGTTGTTCAGAGCAATGTGGAATTGTTCAGGGGCATTATTCCATCAATAGCTCATTACAGTCAACACAGTGTACTGCTCATTGCCTCTCAACCAGGTACTGTATGGCAGAGGTTAATATAATTTTATGAGGTTTCAAGATGATTTGCAGTTGATGTTATTTTGGTGGTTTTTAAAAATAGTTTCTTAATGAGGATTAGGGGGAAGGTTATTTTGTCAATTCTCAACCACAAAATAATAGTATTGAGTATTACATCAAAACTTTTTTAAAAAACTGCTGGTTGTTTTACTTTGTTTTACATAATGAACTAGTTATTTGGAATTTCCTTTTAGGCAATTTAAAAACCTCAATACAGGTAGTTCTCGACTTACGACTGTTCACTTAGCGACAGTCCGAAGTTACAACGGCACTGAAAAAAGTGACTTATGACCATTTTTCACACTTACAACTGTTGCAGCCTTCCCAAAGTCATGTGATCAGGATTTGGACACTTGGCAACTCAGATTTATGACAGTTGCCATGTCATGAGGTCATGTGATCCCCTTTTGCAACCTTCTGAGAAGCAAAGTCAATTAGGTAGTCCAATTCATTTAACAACCATATTACTAATGTAACAAATGCAGTGATTCACTTAACAACTGCAGCAAGAAAGGTTGTAAAACGGGGCAAAACTCACTTGACAATGTCTTACTTGGCAACATAAATTTTGGGCTCAGTTGTGGTCACAAGTCAAGGAGTATATTTTTCTGATTCCTAATATTGCAGAAAAGGTTGTGTGATTTGTTGCATAATTCAGCTCTATTATTTATCTCCAAACAGTGAGACAGTACCAGGATTACAATCTTTTAAAAGAACAAAACCACAGAAACACAAGCAAAGAAAAGAAAGAGTAGAAGCCTGGTATATCACTTACAAAAAGATCAGCCTAATTTGTTAACACCCTAACAACATGATGTAATCATTCTTTCTATTATGTTCATATACAAAAAGTAAACACGGAGAATCCAAGACTGTAAAGATGAGATTGTGCTGTTTTTCTAACCTTGAAGAGTACATTTTTTGCTGCTTTTCATGCTTGATAATCTATAAATCCATATTACTTGTGATAAGCTTCATGTTTTGGTAATACAATAAAAGAACACATTCACATATTTAAATCATTCTGATCTTTCTAATATTGTATTAACAAGCCTAAGGGTATTAAGCCAAAATAAAACAATAGTAGGATAAGCCCATATCATATCAGTAGCTGATCTGACTGACACTATATTGAATGATAATGTCTATTTACCATTTTTGTACTTCCAGCTACTCTTTTCAAATATTTTCTTGGCATTTACTGTTGTAAAAATGCAACTTTTTCAGCTTGCCTCATATTAAAAAGCATAATTAATATTTTTTGAGACTGCCTAATTTATTGGGAGGGTTCAATGAAATCAATAGGTGGCACTAATTCTGATTTGAAGGAAGGCATTAGCAGAATAGGGAAGGATAAATTTTTGATGTTGAAGAGAATTTTGATAACCATAACAATTTATTTACATAAATTATGTAAATTCTGGAAAGAATAATTTAAAAATCCAATAACATAGGAACAGATCTTGCTATTTGGAACCTAACAAGGGCCAATTACTATGAACTCTATCCAGGGCATCCATAGAAGGAAGTGTAGATATGTAGAATACTGATGCACATACAAAAGGAGCAAGGCTTCAGTTGCGTCATTGCAACAAAATATACTGATTTTTGATTCCTTGTGGATGTTGTTGGCTCTTACACACACACACACACACACACACACACACACACACACACACACACATATTGTTGTGCTTGCTTTGGTGTGTTTGTGTAGACATTTGGGTCAATATTGACTCCTGGGGACTACATGCATATGTTCCTACAGTTTCTTGGCAAGATTTTGGAAGAGGTTTGACATTGCTTTTTTGGCTTGCTACTGTAGAGGAACATAATTAAAAATGACTAACATCCCACTCCACCCCCAAAATAACAAAAGCAATTGATAAAATCTATTAAATGAGAAAGGGTGAAGATACAAGAAACTTCAATAGTCTAATAAATAATACTAAACTTAGTCCTTTCTCATCTTTTCTCCAACACAATTTAATCTTTGTTGTGATTAAATTGTGCAAGAAATCCTGACCTTTTATTGATATCCTACAGCTGTTCATAGAGAAATAGTAAAACCTCTGATTCCTCAACAATCATAAATTAATAGGTGTATGTGCCTACTGTATGGCACACCATTCCACTTCCTTATTCCAAACAGTTGCACAAACAACAGTATAGTTTTTCTTAAGCTTAAAAATGGCACTTAAATGCAAAAATTATTAAAAATCAGTAATATTTACAAAATCAGTAATATTTAAACTACTATTTTATATTCATTTAAAAATATTTGTCGATTCTCTTAATATGTTTTTTATCATAACTACAGTAGAAATAATGACCTATGTGTCGTGGAAGCTGAGTGGATTTCCCAAAAGCAGAGTTATTGGAATTGGTTGCAATTTGGATTCAGCAAGATTCCAGTATGTTATTACAAATCTGTTGAAAACCCAAAGCAGAAGTAAAGACAATTGGATTATTGGTGAACAAGGAGTAAACAAAGGTAAAACTGTGAACTACTGTATCATTTAGGAATCTACATTTTAGATTTTCTTTCCTCTTTGAATTAGAACATAAATGAGCACTTTTATATTCGTTTGAGAAAATACTGAAATTTATCCCGGAGGTACAGTTTTATGAATGAAAAATGTAGGGTAGTCCTTGTTTAGTGATCACAATTGGGGCTAGAAATTGGTCATTAAACAAAGCCATCACTAAGTGGGAAATCAAGTGACTGCAACTATGCTTTCATTTTCTTCACTTTTGCACTCTTTGGAATGCTCACCCTGGTGCTGGGATAATTAGCAAGAAGGAATTAATGTTTAAACAGTCTCTCCTATTCCTGATCCATTTTGTCTCTCCTTCCCTCACAGAATAGGGAGATTGGAGAGAAGCAGATTACAAGAGAGTTAGAGACACACAATGGGAAATACACTGGATGGTTGTCAGCACATTCTTTTTGATGTGTATCGCCTTGCTTACTCTCTTATAATCCTTCCTTAATCTTCCTGCTCTGCAAGGGGAAAAAAGATAATAGGTCAGGCACAGAACAACATATTCTGATTACAATGGCGATCACATGCCTGAGGGACACTGCAAAGATTGTAAATAGACGCCTTGATTGCAGAGTTATTTTTTTCATCAGCATTATAACTTTAAATGGTTGCAGCAATTGGTCAAGGCAATTGGTAAGCAAAGTCTACTTTAAAACATTTGCCAACTTCTGCTTTAATTAATAGCGAATCGGAGAAATTAGTGGGGGTATTGTATCTCTATTAGCATGACACAATAGACTACAAAGTACATAGGTTGAAAACCAAGACACGTTACCTAATTATCCAAATGTTTGAAAAAGAAAATTAATTCCAATTGTCTTATACAGTGGCAGCATGGAGTTCTAATTCTGTGATAAATCATCCTGGCGATAAGTTAACAAATGATCAACAGGTGTTGACTAACAGGTAAAAAACCATCTATGCCTCTATTTAGTACGACACTTATTTTAATGGGACTTCTGCATAAGCTGGTATAAGATGTTATTTAACTATAAAACATTTATATTTGATATTAAAAAGAATATATTGCTTGTTGGTAAAGTCTCTTAAGTCTTAGATGTATTTCTTGTATTTAGAGCCATGGAAATTCTGAAAGGAAAAGGCCAAAGGTCTTGGTCTGTTGGTCTGTCAATAGCTGATCTGACTGACACTATATTGAATGATAAAAGAAAAATACATTCTGTATCCACCACGGTGAAGGTAAGCAAGAAGCTGATGTTACGTCTGAAGCAGACTGAATATTAGTCTATAGATGACAGTTGAAAACCATAAGAATGGAAAACAGATTATAAATCTCAGGTGCCCCTGACTTTGTCTTGAGGAAACCTGGCTAACCATTTTTCTTGTCCTACGTATTTCATAGCAGAGGCCAGATGATTTTGGGTTTTTCTGATTTAATGTGGAAATACTATTTTCAACTTTCATCTGACAGAAAAATTGCTATTTTCTTGCTTTGTGTTCCTACAGTGGCCACCATGGTTGTACCAGAAATTGGTCCAGCACTTTTTCATTCCAGGTGTCAAAGCTCCTTTTTGTTGGTTGCTGTCAGCTTCCCTCTACAGCCATTTTTTTACTTTTAAAAACATTCTTAATACAATTGAAAACACAATTCTAAATATCATTTTTAACAGAATAAATTATATTTCTCAGCAATAAAAGTCAGACACTAAAAAGATTAGTCTTTTTGCCAGCTTACTTCAATAGAATAAGAATACAATAGAATAGAATAGTTTATTGGCCAAGTGTGATTGGACTTACATAACAAGTATGGTTTAAAAGTCAATGTCATTTAAAGCAGAAAATGTTCACTTTCGGTTTTGTGGTTTGTATGCTATAAATCACTTGAAATACTGTAGTTTCAGTCGTCACTAAGTAAAAACAAAGGATTAGTTTCTTTATCTCTTTGCTGTCATCTGCCAATCTGGGATTTTATAGCTCAGATAAAAATACATCTAAATTGTGTAATTACTTGCAAGCTTATTTAAATCTTACAAGTATTAGTGACTGGCATATGTAGAATTCAAGCCAGAAGTGTCTTAAATTTCATATATCTTTGGTGAAAACCAGATACATGTAAAAATATTATGTTCATTTTTTCTAGGGGTATTATAATATAAACAGTGAAGTATTTTTAAGTATGCCTTGTGTACTTGGAATCAGTGGTGTAACTGAAATGATGAAGCCCGTGGAAGAGGATAATGTAGTTGAAAAACTTCAAACCAGTGCTGCATCTGTCAATGACCTTCAACAGCAGCTGAAGCTCTGACTGCCAGGAAACCATAGATTTTTGTTCTTAAAATATTTGAGATTACAGAGAAGGTATTAATGACCGACTGAGTCAAACATCAAATTTTAGTGACTATTATTATATGGTAACTAAAATTAGACAAAAACATTGTGATTAGGAAAGTTGTTTGACCATGATATTTCCTAATCATGAATTATTGTACTTCTTTGCCCTTTCCTCATTTTGCTGTGGCCTTCAATACTACTATTCAACTTTGCTCTCTAAAGTAAATTTTTATTTTAATCAGAGATGTTAGGCAGTCAGAGGTAATGTATCACCATTGGGTTGCTATTTCCCATACATTATTGGCTGTATACAGATAGTATAAATTTCTTAGAAAGAAACAGCAGCACAGTATTGACTAAAATCGATGTTCACAATTCAACTGATATTTATGTTTTTTTACATGTTTACACTACCAAATCAGTCATCTGAAGTTGCCATTATATTGCACAAATATTACTTTAGGCTCAATATGTCTAAACAGAGTTCTCAAAGTGTTCTGTGTAGATTTTAAAGATTTAGGGAAAAGTCTTGGACAAAGGCCATTAAAAATATTAGTGTAATACATTGCTGTACTATTGGCTCCTAAGACCCAGAGAGAAAACAAGATTCTTTCTGTTTTAGGCATAGAATGCACTTTGTTTATCATCCTTTATCACACTCTAAAACTGAGGAGGACCTACCAAAGTAATTGTTCTCTTGAAGCTGGATCCATGCTTCTGGAAAGGGACAGGAACAACATGTAAATGCACTATTCATTATTATGCAGTAGTTAGGTTTTAATGTATTTGGCTGCTCACTTCTAATGTTGCACTAAGCTTTTAGCAATACAAAAAGATTTGCCACTCTAAATTTGATAAAATGTTATTGTGTAATTATGCATGTCTATAATGATTTTTGCCATTTTACCTTAGATTATTTTTCTAAAAATTATGATATGGAAAAAAAACTTGTTAATGAGATATTAATAAAGCTAATGGTATCTGATGTACATCTTTTGCTTTACATTCTATGATCTTCAGAGGTAAACATTTAATGAGGAAGTGACACACAATTTTATGGGTGCATTGCTGGCATTTTGAATCGGCAGTAACAATATCTCACAGAATTTCAGCACACGTGCTTGGTGACTTTGGGCCAGTTACTTTCTCTCAACACTACAGTGAAGGAATTGGCAAGCCACTAATGAAAAATGCTGCCAAGAAAACTGCAGGGGGCAATCTCCAGCTGAGCAGAAATAGCAGGTTGTGAAGTCACCTATCCTAATTTTAAAACAAATAACAGTAATAAAGCATAAGCCCACTTGTGAATTTGCCTTGAGATTAGTTGTGCTTTTTATTATTATTATTATAATAAAATATAATGAAATTTATATTTATCAGATTTATATAGCCGTCCAGTTCACCAGAAGTGACTCTGGATGATGTACAAAATGAAGAAAATATAAATTATAAAATAGCTATTATAAAAAATAAACAACCATTATTTAAAAACTAATCAGTAAAAATTACAATTTATATAATACCCAGTTCTCAGCAACTCTGGGAACCATGTTCCAAATATGCTTTTTCAAGAGGCAACTGGACACACTGGTTTTGTTTTGAAGATGTTTTGCTTCTCATCCAAGAAATTTCTTCAGCTCTTCAAAGAAAAAAAACAGCAAGTCCAGTTGCCTCTTGAAAAAGCAAGTTTGGGACAACCATGACCTGGATGACTGAGAATCTCCATAGACATCTGGGACCCATGACCCCTATATGACTTCATAGGAATCTGGTAACAGCCATTAAAATATTAAAGGACATATTCTTGCACAGGCATCTCAATCATAAAGCCCCGAAGAATGTAAAAAAGCCCACCTAGTCTCCACCCCATTTTGTCAGCCACTCCAGAAACATGCTGCTGTCACTGAAGTTTCCTGGCTACCAAATAAATGGAGACCTTTTCTGCAGCCTGCCTCCATTTTATTTCAGCATCTTTCTCCCAGCTTGGAACCGGATCCGATTTTTCTTCCAACAATGAGTTCACTTAAAGTTTGTACATTGTTCTTGGTGTTATTTATTTACACCTCACTTTGATCGAGGAGCTCAAAGTGGCACCTTGTCCTCCAATATTTTTTCCCCTACAAACTCACTAAAATAGTGTAGAGTTGTAATTGCAGGAATGTTCCAATCTGGGATGGCAAACCTCAGATAAAGAATGTTTCCAAGCAAATACAACTCAGGCAAACAAAGTCACTAATCTATGGATAAAGGAGGATTAGAGAGGGGAAGTAGACATATGTTAGACTTTAACTAGAGAGAATTAATTGTATGGATTACTCTACTAAACAGTAACGAAAGTTAAGCAGTAACCAAAGTTAACCAATGATGGAGGATAACTAAAAATGTATATAAATGCAAGACTATACTCCAATAAAGATCATCATCATAATTCAGTTGTTCATGATCAAACAACTTGACTGCCTCGTCATTACAACAAAATAGGTGTACGGAGACTGGCCAGTTTAGAGGGTGAAGCCGGACTCTCTCCCCACCCTTGAATGCTGTTGAATCTTATCTAATCTCACCCAGGTGCAAACTGAATATGAAAAAATTCCTGTGTATAGGGCTGAGCAGTAAAATAGCTAACTTAACTCTTCAAATACGAGTCTAGTTGTTTGCGCTTGACAACTGGTCAAGAGCCCCTCACCAATCAGAACAGAAGCTGGAAGGGGCCTTGGAGGTCTTCTAGTCCAACCCGCTGCCCCCCCCCCCAGCAAAAGATACCATTTCAGACAAGCGGCTGTCCAGCCTTTTCTTAAAAACCTCCAGCGATGGCGCACCTTAAGTCAAGCTGTTCCACTGGCTAAATCAGGGATCCCCAAACTTGGCAACTTTAAGACTTGTGGACTTCAACTCCCAGAATTCCTCAGCTAGCATAACTGGTTGAGAAATTCTGGGAGTTAAAGTCCACAAGGCTTAAAGTTGCCAAGTTTGGAGACCTCTGGGCTAAATTGTCCTCACTGTTAGGAAAGTTCACCTAATATTTTTTTTGTTTTTAATTGAGGGAGCATTAGAATCTGAGACACTCTGCTCTTAGTCGCGTACCTTAGTGATTAATACCCCATTTCTATCCAATTAATTACACCCCAGAACAGATCGTAAAATCGGATTGTCCTCCGACCCTCTCTATAATTTGTCTTCGCAGAAGGACTAAAGTCAAAAGTATTACTACTGTTCTTTCCGGTCGAGGGGGCGGGGGCGGGGGGAGGAGAGCAGTTAACTTCCGGAAGTGACGTTTTGCGATACCGCCGAGCGGAAACGGATCGCGGAGGCTGTCGGAAGCGGAGCTTTTTCGTCCGGGAGTTGAGAGTAGCGGGTGGAGGTCGTAGAAGGTAGCGCGACCGAGAGAGGGACCGCCGCCATGGCCTTGTCCGAGAGTCAGCTGAAGAAAATGCTTGCCAAGGTAAAAGCCTGCCTGTTCCTGAAGCGTCCCTTCTCTAAACAGCCTTTGAGTCGGCTCAGCCCAGTCGCCCTCTTTGAAGGCCTCTCCGCCCGGCCTTTTTTTGGTAATGGTGGTGGTGGGGCAACGGTAGAGCCAAAAGCCAAGACGCCTTCCCTTTGGGGGAAAAGGGGTCCTTCCGAGCCCGTTCGCCTTTCACTTTTTTTCCCCCCTCATGAACTGACGGTGTTTGCCTCTTCCTCGTCAGAGACCAACTTTCGCACCCACAAATAAACAGTGACTGAACCTTTGGGCGCCTGCCTATCCCAACAGTCAGCTCCAAATTCAACATGAATAGCCTAAAAATAAGTAAATAATCGAAGTCCGTTTCCTCTCATCCCTGGTGGTCCATAATTACTAGGCTATAATTACAGGACATTTCCTAATCGCCAATGCCTGGAATTTCCAGCGAGCCCCCATCTAACCATAAATGGTCCATAATTTTTGAAAACTCTTGGCTCCTATTTGAAGAGGAATCTCCTGCAAGTCAGCCGTTAAATCTTGAAATCAGACAGTTGTTCTCCCAAACACACAAGGCTTCTTGGAGTCTTCTGGTTCTCCGTCCTTGCATCCCTGACTTGATAAGTTGGGCCTTAAAATAAAAAGTGAATTTCTGCAGGCCTGTAGTTCTCTTCCCCGTGTAGTAGTCCTTATTGGGAGAAAGCCTGAAACTTATTCCACAGTCCTGGAAAGAAAACAAGTGCTCCCTCTGTACATTGTTACCAACTCCTTAGTTCTCAGATAGTCTTGTGTTATGGACTGCTGGAGACTAGCTATCTCAGGAGAAAGAGATGTGAGCTGAATTGGTGTCTGAAGTCTTGGAGTAATTCTTCCCCCCCCCCCCCATTAGATTGTACCAAGTTACAGGAAGTTTGAAGTCCCTCCTTTTATTTGAAAGTGAATATAGAAAACTATTTGGTAGGCTTGTATATTCTGTTGGTTTTTTCTGCAATAAACAAATACAAATACAGGATAAATACAAAGCCCCTGGTCTTTCTCTGTAACCCTTTGCCTTCTCCAAGTTTTCGGTTAGTCTCTTGTTTTGTTTTGTTTCCTTTTTTCCCCAGAATATTTTACAATTAGCCACTCCTTATTTTCTATTATTTTTTTTAAAAAAATAGCTACATAGTAGGGCTCAACCTAAAGAAATACAAGGAAGTAGAAATATACTTCCTAAAGAAATTAATTTTTTCACGCATTTGAAAGATGAATTTGGTACAAGAATCACTGCTTTTAGGCTTCTCTTACACTTTAATAAATATGTTTTTTTAATATCTGAGGATTTTCTGCCTTTTATGTGCACTCTGTCACCTGGATGTGGTAGCATATAAAAATCCTTATATGCCATTTCAATGTAGGTTGAAAAGGTTAAATGACAATGCATGCAAATAGCATCATCATGTGAATGCTGCAACTCACTTGTATTAGATGTCAGAACATGAATATTGTCATTTTGGCATCTTGACGTTGCGGATAATGCATCATCTTGAAGGGTTGGCAGATAAATGTATCTAATGCAATTGTTGCATATTGTACATAGAAAATGTTTATCAACTTTTTTAAAAGTTTGTGGATAATTTTGTAAACCATAAGGTAACTTATATGTGTGTGTTTGCAAACACACACATTTGAGGACTAAGCAGAATTAAATAAGCTTTAAATTGTTTTAATATTTGTTATCCCATAATCAGTGATATTAAGGAAACAAACTGACAGGTTTGCCAGGAAATGGTATTTATAGCTTGCTGTCTATCTTCTCAGTCAGCTGACTTGTCCAATAATTTCTGTATGTGTTTTGTGTATATACTGTTTC